CACACACACACACACACACACACACACACACACCACACACACACACACACACACACACACACACACAGGGTTATTTTTCTAAAGCTGGGAATACACTTTCACAGCATTTACAGAATTTGAAAAGACTGCGAGAACACACCAGCAGACGTCTGTACGATGATTAAAAGACTGGAGATCCCAGTGGTAACAACTGCACCAGATGCCACAGACCACACAATCTGTTAAACCAGCTAATGCAAACCAGTTGGTAAAAGTTTGTTTAGGCTCTTTCTCAGTGTGCCACCATTGTTTTGAACTTCCTACAACTTCCTGTCATCTTCTGACATCATCTCCTGTGGCTGACATGTTTACATACTACCTGAATGAGCCCTTGTTGACTAATGAGGGTCCCACCCGATTCCTCACTTTAGAACCAATGTTGAGCTAAATCTGTTGGTTTATCGGTTTGACTAAACATTGAGTCGATCTTTTTCACCCTGTTGTTCGTGTACAACATGATATTTGGTGCTTTAACCAAACCTGAAGGAGCCAAAATTGAATGTTTTTATACTTTTCCAGACTTTGGCAAATCTATTATATACCTTCCATTTTTGGTTAATTTTTAAAACACAGGAAAGGTTTCTCTTTACCTTGCTGACGTTTCGTTTGCCGACTGCAAAACATCCTCAGAGCTGACTCTGATGGTGGCGTCACTTCCAACTCCGTTTGTCCGGGAGAGCGGGCAGCAGAGGGCGACGACGTCCTCTGCTGCCCGCTCTCCCCTCTCCGATGATGCAGTACCATGCACGATCCAATGTGTAGACCCCATCGTCTCTGTTCATGGTCCCACATCCACGTCTCCTTATCTCGATAGCTTCTTTTATCCATCTTTTGTGTTTCTGTTGTTCGGTGTTTATGATCCTTGTGTTGTCCCAGTCCAATACATGGTTTTCTCTTGTGCAGTGATCTGTTATGGCTGACTTCTTTATTGTGCTTTCTGTTCCTTGTTTTGTTGCTCTTGTGTGTCTTCGACGTTTCTTTCTTGCACTCCTTTCTATGTTCTATTGTCAGTGTGTTGAGTTGGCGTCTGGTTTCTCCTATGTTTGTTTTATTGCAGAGTTTGCCTGGGATTTCTTAAACAGCTCCACATTTAAGTCCAGCTGGTATCTTGTCTTTTGGGTGTTTCCTCTTGTGTGACCGCAGCTTCTGTCCTGATTGGGATTAATGCTTCAGCCCTAAGCAAACTGCAGAAGGTTCAAAATGCTGCAACCAGATTTTTAACCAACACCGACAGACGCATGCACATCACACCCATCCTCGCAGATTTACACTGGCTCCCAGTCAAATTTTGGATTAACTTCAAGGTCTTGTTATATGTTTACAAGGCTTTGTACTGCCCATCCCCATCCTATCTGATGGACCTGCTGACCCCATTTGTTCCCACCCGTGCCCTTCGGTCAGCAGATCATCTGCTGCTTGTTGTTCCGAAGGTTCGGTACAAATCACGGGGGGGGGGGTTGTGCCTTCTCTTATGCAGCCCCAAAACTCTGGAACTCTCTGCCCCTCCGTGTGCGTCTGGCTCCCTCTGTTAGCAGTTTCAAGTCGGCCCTGAAAACGTACTTCTTTAGCATTGCCTTCCCTCCGTGACACTTTTCATGACAATCTAGCACCGGATTTGAATTTTTAATTCCGTTTTTATGATTCAGTTGCTCACTTTTGGCACCTCGCACCATCTGGTATTTTATTTAGTTTTATTTGTGCCATTTCAAATGTTTTTATCATTCGTCGCATTATTTTATTTTCATAGTGCTGTTAACTGTTCTCCCATTTTATTGTTTTTAGTAGGAATTTTTATCTCCGACTATTTATGCTTTGTTCTTATGTATTTTGCCTGTTCTTATTGTGTTTCTTGAGCAAATATTTGGCTTTTGTATGTACAGCACTTTGGTTAGCTGCCATGCTATTTTGAAATGGTGCTTTATAAATAAGTATGGTATGGTATGGTATGGTATGGTATGGTATGGTATGGTATGGTATGGTATGGTACTAGTCTGTTTCTAACTGTTGTGTATGGTTTTGTTGGTGTGTTTATGTTGAGTTTTTTTATTGTTGCTCTTATTTTTTATGTTATGCCGCTGATGTATGGTAGGGTTATCACTGGTTTTGGTTCTTGTCTTTCTGGGTTTCTGGTTCTTTGCTTAGGTTGTTCTTTACTTTTTGTTGTTGTTTGTTGTTTTTCTTCATTTATTGCCCATGTCGGGTATCTGCAGGTCTTTAAAGCGTGTTGTATGTGTTTGTCCTCTTGTTTACAGTCTCTTTCTTCTGTTACCATGTTTGCTCGGTGATATAATGTTCTGATTACTGACATTTTGTGTATGGTGGGGTGTTCTGATGTCCATAATAGATATTGGTCTGTGTGTGTCGGTTTCCTATATGTGTTTATGTTTAGGGTCCCGTCGGTCTGTCTGGTGATTTTCATATCCATAAATGCTATACTGCCTTCTGTTTCTAACTCATATGTGAACTTTATGTTGCCTGTGTCATCAATGTTCTTTAAGTGTTGTGTTAGTCTTTCTGTTAGTCCTTTTGGTATGATTTCCAGTATGTCGTCTACGGAGCGTTTCCATAATTTTATTTTGCATTTTGGGGGGGGCAGTGGCTATGGCTTTTTGTTCCAGGTCTTCCATGATAAACTTGCACAGGGTGGCTGATAACGGGTTACCCATGGCGAAGCCTTCCAGTTGTTTGTATATTGTGTTGTCGTATGTGAAGTAAGTGGAGTTAGCTACCAGTCCTATCAGTTATGTCATCTGCTGTGAGGTTTGATCTTTTGTGAAAAGTCTTGTCCTGTCTGATTCTGTTAACTGGTATGTCTACAGTTTTTTGCGTTGGCGTTTTTGTGAACAGAGATATGACGTCATGTGAGATGAGTATGTCCTTATTTTCTATTGTAGTCTTTCTAAGTTCTTTTGCCAGTTCTGTGCTATTTTTCCAGTGTTGATCTGTGTTTCCTAATAACGGGCTGATGATTTTGCTGATTTCTTTTGCCATGTTGTATGCTGGTGTACTTATGCTGTCTACTATAGGTCTAAGTGGGGTGTTTTGTTTGTGTATTTTTGGAGTTCCATAGATTCTTGGTGTTATGTTTGCTGTATGAATCCAGTGTTTGTACATTTTTTTTCTGTTATTTTGCCTTTTTCTTGTAGTGGCTTCAGTAATTTTTTCATATTTTTCTTAATGCTTTCTGTTGGATCTTTAAGTATTTCATATGTATTTTTGTCCTCTAGCATCTGTTTCATCTGTTGTTTATATTTTTCTTTGTCCATTACTACTGTAGTTCTTCCTTTGTCTGCCGGTGGAATAATTATCTGTTCATTTTTGGATAAAGCTGTCATGGCTGATTGTTCTTCTTTTGTAATATTGCTGTGTTGAATTTGGCTGTTCTTTAATATCCCAACTATATTATTTCTGAGTTCTGTTTCTTTCCCTCATCTGTGATCTGTTGACATGCTAGTTCTGTTGCTACAAAAAATTCTTCATATGGTATTTTCTTTGGTGTAAATGCAAAATTTAAACCTTTCTTTAATATGCTTTCTTCTGCTTCTGTTAGTTCGTATTGTGAAAGGTTACATACCCATGAGCTGTTATCTTGTATTTCTTTTCTCTTTTTCTTGTTGATGAGTTTGTTTAACTTCTCTATGTGTCTTTCTTTTACTTTTATGAACTCTTTTTCCTGTTGTTCCATCATGTGTCCTTTAATTTGTTCCTCCGTTTTTTCGTCTAGTTTGTAATTCCTTTTTAAGTCCTGGTGTCTTCTTTCCAGTTCGTTTTCCACTTGCTTCTGTTTGGTTGCGACGTTTCTTATCCTTTCTTTGAGTAGTGCTCTCTGTGTTCTTTCCATTATGTTCTGTGCTGTCTTGGTCCGGATCGGTGTTTTCAGCTGTAGACTTGTTGGCGTGATGTTTTCGTCCCGGCATCTTAAATTGAAGCGAAGGTGGTTACTTAGACATGCGCGTTTTTGATGTAAACGTTCCAAACGGCGGAAGTCCTTTGTTCCTTGTTGTCCATATTTTTCTTTAAACATCTTTGGTATTTTCTTACTGTGTCTAGTTTCTAATTCCATTTTTGGTTCTTTTTAAAACACAGGAAAGGTTTCTATTTACCTTGCTAACATTTCGTTTGCCGACTGCAAAACATCCTCAGCTGCCCGCGGATAAACGGAGTAGGAAGTGTAGGAATATGATGGGAAGTTGAAGCTACAAGTGGTCAAATATATTCCATTACTGGTGATGAGGTTTGTTGGTTTATTGAGTATCATTTGCCTTTCCAATTTAATCATTCTTTTCAGCTCAGATTTGTATCCTTTATTTTGGGTATCGGTCAGTTTAAACCAACTTGTGGTATGCATAAGATAAATCTTGGGTTAAACCAAAAAAACTACCCAGGGTTGACCTTGGTCCAAATGTGACCAGTATGGGTTACCAAAGCCTTTGGCTCCACTTCAAGCTAACATGTTTAGTGTGTAATGAAAAACATGCCAAAATATCATTACTACATAAATTATAATGTCTTGAACGCTTTTAAAAAAACATCCAGAGCACATTGGCCCAATAGCAAACAAAAGATTTGTGACTGACATGAATATCAGTGTACAGTCTGATTTCACATTGGGGGCTCCTGACTTCCTTCGGCCAGACAAAAGTAAAATCAGCCCTCAGATGAGCTGGAATAACAAGTGAAACCCCCTTGAATGGCGGCTCTTGTTGTCCACAGACACATGGTAATTGTGCACCGCTGAATGCAGCTCTGAGCTGCCACATCTGTGTAAACCGCAAACGTCCGGTGTGAATTAATGGGTCAGACTCCAGCAGAGAGGAATAAAGGTAGATGGGTGTTTTAATGGTGGAGGGAAAATACCTTTGATTTGTTTTTGCAGAACAAAAATATTTCTACATAAATCCGAGAAGAACAGTTTATTTTAAAGGTGTAGAGCAACACTGATCTGGGATCAGTAAACGTACCTTTCCCGCAGGCTCCCCGCTGGATGAACAGAACAGGTGGCTGCTGCAGCTTCTGCGCCCGGCGGCTGACCTGCTTTAGCTCGCAGATACTCCGGTAAGACACCCCGTCGCTCCCGCAAACCGGCTCGGTGGACTTGCACACGCAGCTCCCACTCTTGCTTCTCCTCCTCACCGTGACGGAGTACGCCACCCCGCCAGGGACCGAGCACTCCAGCCCGTCTCCGCACACCGGGTCACCCAGCTTCCCGCTGCCGCCGCAGGCTTCCCCCTCACCGGACGCACACACCGGGCAGCAGTGGCACACGTCGAGGCCCTTTCCCGCCGAACAGTCCGCTGGTAACCGGGGACACATCGACTTGTCACACTGAGAGGGACATCCGACAACAAACCGGCTGGAGAGTTGCGCATCCGCAGGTAAAGACGCCACTGCAGCGCACACCACCAACAGGGACCTGAACATGGCTCAAATTGTTTAATTAAAAAGTTTATCTCAAAGATTAAAAGTTAGAAACGTTCAGTCCCAGCTGTTACAGGGGAGAGCGCTGAGGGCTGAGGGGGGAGTCATTCCAGCCAGAGGCATTTAACAGGATTTCTGCGCATTCAATCTGCGCATGCTGTCGCTGCCTGCTGGCACAGCATCAACCCACTTTCCAGAGTCTGAGAACGAGCCCTGCACGTTCACGTGGCGCACCGAGGGGGAGAGCTCGTCTTTTGATGCTTCTGCAGACGCGTGGAGATAAAATAACAAGAAAACATATCAAAGAAAAACAATGAGTGTAAGGGAAGTGATGGAACACACAGCGCGCAGTATTTAAGTACTGAACAGCATGGACGCATACTCCTCTTGACCTCATGCAGGGAAGACCAGTCTTCTCCAGACCAAAAGTTGCAGGTCTTGACATGTTCTCAATCCAGGTCCTGAGGGGCCCCCTGTCATGCCTGTTCTACAAGAACTAGTTAAGGTCGGCCATTCATGTGAATCAGTTTTGGTGGGATTGGAAAACATTGAAAACATGCAGAGCTGTGCGCCCCGGACTGAGGAAACCAATGCAAATTCAATTAAATTCAGTTTATTTATATAGCGTCAAATCACCACAATTGTCGTCTCAAGGCCCTTCACAAAGTAAACATTACAACATAGTTCAGTTCATTAAGCCAATCAGTAAAACGTTTCTTATATACATAAGGAACCCAACAGATTGCATCAAGTCACTGACTAGTGTCAATGTCTTTACAGCAATCCTCATACTTAGCAAGCATGTAGCAACAGTGGGGAGAAAAACTCCCCTTTAACAGGAAGAAACCTCCAGACGATCCTGACTCAGTATAAGCAGCCATCCACCACGACTCACTAGGGATCGAGAAGACACACACACACACCCACACACACACACACAAAGAATTCTGGCATTTTCCATATTCTGACCAACGCACATGTAGTCCATATTCCACACCGGGCTCATATCCCTTCCAGCTCTAGACGAGACTCACCTTAGTCAAAAATTACCCAGAATACACGGTATTTTCTAAAGGATGGCGGATCAGAAGCCGGTAGCTACTTTGGGGACAATTTTCAAATTTAAAAGTAAGTGAACTAACTTAAAATGTTTTTTTTTAGATCCAAAGAAGTCATCTGTTGTTGGTTAGTTGCTTAGTAGTTGCAGCTTCGGTGGCTAGCGGGTAGTAACTCACTTATATTTTTTATTTAATAAACATTTACACAATTTAAAAAGTTAAAGTCTTGTTAAATATTTATATTGAAACTAATACGTATAAAATATAACATTATCTCCCGTGTCACGTGACATTACGTGACCGCCATGGAAGCCGTGGTTACGTGATGCAAGCCTGTTCCATTTAACCATTTTCTTTGACCAAGGACAGACAGCGTCCTCATAAGCAAGGCGCCTGGCCTCGCAAGGCGATGCCAGGTGCCTTCACATTTAGAAACACCCTTAGTCTCCCCAGCATGTTCTCACTCCAACCCTAGTTAAACAAAAATCTCAGATCTTCAACAATTTTGGTAAGAGGGAACTCAACATATGGTGAGATGGGGGAAGGGCTGGCATTGGCCACTTGGCCACATTGAAAAATGATGTAAGCGGTGTTTCACTTCGACACAGTTGACCATGCGATTCTACTCGATCGCTTGGAACGATGGGTTGGGATCAAAGGGTCAGCTCTGGATTGGTTTAGATCGTATCTCCACAACAGGACATTCTGTGTTAAACTGGGTGATGTTTTTTCTTCTTGGGAGGGGCTCCGCTGGGGGGTCCCGCAGGGGTCGATCCTTGGTTCTCTTTTGTTTGCCATTTATCTGCTACCTCTGGGGTCAATCTTTCGTAAACATGGCCTATCATTCCATCTGTATGCTGACGATTGCCAGATTTACTCTCCATTGTGTCAGGAGAAAGGTCACTCTATCCAGTCCTTTGTGTCATGTATTAATGAGATGAAGTCTTGGCTAATGGCCAACTATCTACATCTGAATGAGGGAAAGACAGAGCTCATTGTTTTTCACCCCAACATCAGGACTGTGGGTCGTTATGTTGATCTTGGCCCTCTTTCTCCCTACTCAAAGCCAGTTGTTACCAGTTTGGGGGTGAAACTTGAAGCAGGACTTAAATTTGATGATCACATCAATTCTGTGATCCGGTCCAGTTTCTTTTACCTGAGATGCCTTGCAAAAATCAAGCATATGCTGTTGAGAGCCCACCTGGAGCGGGTGCTGCATGCCTTTGTTATTTCTCGGCTTGACTACTGCAACTCTCTCTACGCAGGGTTGTGTCAGTCATCACTGCATCGCCTACAGGTTGTGCAGAACAGCGCCGCCAGGTTCCTGACTGGGACCAGGAAACGGGACCACATCAGTCCGGTTCTGGCCTCCCTGCACTGACTTCCGATTTGCTATCGCTCACAATTCAAAATCCTCGTCTTTGTTTACAATTTCTTCCAGGGTGGTGGTCCCCCCTATCTGGCCACTCTCCTGAACAAACATTCCCCATCACGCGCTCTGCGCTCCTCTGACCAAGGCCTGCTCGCTGTCCCTCGTTCTAGGTGTCGTACCCGTGGGGACCGGGCTTTCTCAGTCCTAGCACCGTTACTCTGGAACCAGTTGCCACCCTCAGTTAGGCTGTCCCCATCTCTGCCAGTCTTTAAGAATCACCTAAAAAATACACCTCCTCCGCTTGGCGTTTCCAGAACATGTTTGATTTTGGCCCGCTTTTATGTTGAATTTATTTCACAGTTTTCATTGGATCACTCAATCCATCCACTCAATCCAAATGTGTTTCACAAATTTGTCCTGTACCAGAATGTTTCTTCTATCTTGTAATTTCTATTCTGTAATTTCTATTCTGTAATTTGTATTTTGTAATTTGTATTTTGTAATTTGTATTTCGTAATTTGAATTGCTTTTATTGTTGATTTATTCAATATATTTATCTACAACTGTACCATGTTCAGCGCTTTGGGCTTCCTGACAGGGTTGCGGAAGGCGCTTTATAAATAAAGCTTTGATTGATTGATTTCATTTGTCGACCCATCCCTCTAATGCAATCTGCTGCGTTCCTTATATAGGAAAAATGTTTCTGATTGGCTTAATGAACTGACCTGTACTGGAATGTTTACTATATGAAGTGCATTGAGACAACTCTTGTTGTGATTTGGCGCTTTATAAACAAACTTGAATTGAATGAAGTAAACTGCCGAACTTTCGGTTTCGGTTGGTGAGGTTGCCTCACAGAAATATGTTTTATAAGCCATATTGTTTGGTGCCCTCCTGGCCACTTGGTGCTACGCACAGTCCATGATGTGTGGAAGCGGAGTGCTGGCCTTGTTTATGCTAACTGACCTCATAACGACTTTTCAATAAATAGAACCACGTGGCAGCACAAAGGATTCAAAAAGTAGAACTTGCATATGTCCCATTCAAGTAGTCAAAACTCTAAATAAAAGATAGTTCACATAACAAAAAGTGTGGAAATGGTGCCATTTAAAACATTTAATCCATACATAAATGTTTTTTACTGTGTACAAGTCAGGAATAAGTAACTGAATTTAGTAAAAAAGTCAAGTGAGCTATGTGTTTTATGAACTCCATGCACTCTGTGGTTGTTTCTTTTTCTCTTTTACAACTCCCTCATGTTTTAATCTCACGTACCATCAACACAAGTCTTATGGATGAACACATTAATTAGAAGGGGGAGGAAAAGTGGTGGATTGAGTTTGTACTTGCCAGCTTTTTTTTTCTTTTTCGTTAAGGGGTGGAATGCAAGAAGACATTTTTTATGTTTTAATTATAGTTTTAAATGTTATAAGCACATAATAGCTTTAAATTATTACATTTAAAATTCAATTGTAAATCAGCTCATCAACTGCAACATGACCCAATAGATAAGCCAATAATAAATAATCCTAAGAAATCCCCATAAGATTGTACAACATGCACATTTATCTTGTACTTTTATGGCTGAAATGAAGATTTCCAGTATAAATAAAACTGCACTGTACAGGCCTCTGTTGTATTTAATTGTATTTGGGTTGTAAGAGTCCAGTAAACTGTAAATCAGAATCATAAAACATCTCAGAACAGCATGGCTGATTGTGAGCACAGGGCTGTCTGAAAGACCCTACAGTGGTCAGAGTTCAGGGGGAGGGGGCTCAGAAATGCTGCATGAAAACAGAGGGAAGTGATGGACGATGCACCCTGTGGTGTTCCGGATCCCAGCCCAACACAAGTTTATGTATCTAGAAGGTAATTAGAAAGGGTCATAAAAGCACCAGAGTGTGCATGTCAAGTGAAAACCAGATTTTTTTTAAATGAAATGAAAGGCCTGTTGTTGAAGGACCCCCCCCCCCCCCCCCCCCCCCCCCCCCCCCAATTCTAGTGCATAAAATCACATTGCTGGCTGGTATGAAAAATGATTTGAAATGACAGCAATAGGCAGTGAATGGTGGGAAAATGTGCAGATGAAAACAACCTCATCTATAAGGAACACCCGTTCGAGGGCAGTGAACACAGCCAAGGATGGAGGAGGCCGCTGAGGTCTGTGTGATTGCTCCAGTCTGAGATGATGGCTCAGTTGTGAACCAGGACCCTACAGGATCAATATTAACCCTTTGATGCATAAAGGTCACTACAGTGGACAGGTACTCAAAATTGTTATTTCTTTATTTTTGCTATTAAGCACAGCTGTTGAAGACTATTGCATGTGAGCCCCTCCATTTGGACTTCAGTAAGTCAAGCCAACATATTTCATGCTCAGAATGCACGCTGTCCACTGAGATGGACATGTAATAAATTATTTGTAAATTAACAAAATGTTACAAAAATATTTGTTGAAATTTGTTTCATTCACACCTAAAGATAAATGAAAAAAATTGTTTAAAAAATCATGGTTGAAGATTTCATAATTCATCCATCAAAGGGTTAATAAAGTCACATTTTAACAAGTGAGTCATCCGTTTTTAAAAGAATGATTGAACTGCAACACTTAATTTTTACTTCAGTTTTAACTGGACAGAAATCACTCTTTACCCTTTTGACTGGTCTAGATCCAGTCCTTAACCCCGTTGAGAGTCTGTGGGATGTGCTGGAGAAGACTTTGGGTTAGGGTTTGGTATTAATATTCACAAAGATTTAGTATTACTATTTACAGTATTAATACTTACAAATAAAAACTGAATAAAACCTCAATGAGTAATCTGTAGCAGTAGTGTGTCCTTGTGTGCAAGACGCTGGTGGTGCCGGTGCTCAGCAGCCTTGCTTCTGTCAGTGCACCCCAGGGGAGCTGTGGCTACAACGTAGCTCATCACCACCAGGATGTGAATGTGTGTGTGTGGATGGGTGTGTGTTTCATTGTGTTGTGAAGCACGTTGTGGGATTGTGGAACTCTAGAAGGCGGTATACAAATACGAGCCATTTACGTCCAGCATCTAGAAATGAACAGTTGACTGTTTTGTAACAATCATTTTGCACTTTTGCAATTTACTCTGAAATTAGCTGATACATTTAGTTAGATGGCATCAACACATCCCACCTAATTTGTAATGGTTTAAATAAATACATTTTTTAAAATGTTTTATAATCTGAGTTTTTGAGAAGTGAGCCTTTAGTGTGAAAAATCTCAGTGATTTGATCCAGTTTTCCCATTCAAGCATTCTCTCCTCAGTGCTTGTTAGCTTTCTAAGCAGCTCCGCTGACAGGTGGAGAGGTTTGTGAGACCCAGACATACAGACCACAGATGGACTGATGTGTTTTTTCTGTTGCTGATACCGATGCAGATATGTAGAGGTCACGGTCAGCTGATGTCATGAAACGGTGTTGGTGGACCCAAGATGACACAAGGCAGGGATGATGATTAAGTAAAAGTTCTTTATTTTAAGGTGAACCAAAAACCAAGTATATCCAAGCTGGAAGCCAAAAAATCCAAAATCCAAAAACCAGAATAAATATCTGGGGATCAAAAACTCTGGAACACAGAGGGACGAAACTGACAGAACTACAAACAACAATGGCCCGACACAAGACAAAGACAAGACAGGGCTTAAATAGACTGGGAGGGGCAATCAGGAAAACAGGCAGCAGGTGTGCGGAGTGAGCTGCTGGAGGGAAGGCAGGTGACAATAATAATCTCAATGGGGAAACAGAACAGAGAAGGGCAGATAAACCTAAATACAAAGATGAGCACCTAGAGACAAATGGAGGACAAAAGGAGACACATAAGATGAGACGCCGACACAGACATGACAGCTGATGGTCAATATGTGCTGCCAATTTCTTGACATTTGTCACTTTATTTGTCTGCTAAAGTTTCACTGACATCAACAGCAGATGTAGAATATTTCCGAATCTTGAATCGTGATACTTAGTAGTAATAATATATAAAAAAAGCTGCCTTTTAAAATCAAACACTTAACCAAAGTTAATCAAATAGAGCAATAAACTGATCAAGTATTAAATATATGTTGCGTAAATAAAAAAGAAGCAATAGTTAACAATAATGTTTCAGTAGTAATAATAATAATAATAATAATAATAATCATAATCATCATCATCATCGTCTAACTTACATAGCGCTTGTTTAGAACACCCTAAATATCGGGACCAGTTTGGCCAGTAATCGGAAGGTTGCAGGTTCGATCCCGGCTCCGGACAGAGAATTCTGCTGTTGTGCCCTTGGGCAATTTAATAAAATTTGAAGCAGCTGTTGACACTGATATCTAGTAATAAGCGCAGATTATAGAAAGCCTTTGTGTGAGTAAATATCAGCATTCCTCTTCAGTCAGACTCCTCGTTATTGACCACGTTACTGCTCCTTGGATTGTCCTTCTTGCCCGCCTCTGTTTCATGGAATAAGACCCTTGACCTGTTTCCTGACTCTGTCATCAGCCTGCCCCATAGTGGATTACTCTGCTCGCTGTCCTCCTGGTTCTGACCCTAGCCCATCCTCACTTGGACCATCAGCTGGTGGGTGACATCCCTGAGCAAACTGCTCTTAAATTCCTGCCTCAGCTGCAAAAGAAAGTTTTTAATAAAAATCTTAAACTTTCTCTCGTGCATGATATTCTGTTTGGGTCCTCACAGCCAACCCTTACACTTTAAGTATCTTAACAAAAAAAAATGTCATTCATCTTTTACTTATTAATCATGTGTGTGTGCATTATTACTGTGTTTCAAAAGGTTTTGTTTCCTTTTACAGGGAAAATGTCTGTCCGACAGTTAATGACCCTGTTTACAGAACAGCTGACATCAGGTGGGATTATCCAGATCAGAAACAGTCAAGAATCAAGTTCATCTGCAAGGAAAATAATTTAATGAAATAGTATCAGCATCATGCTCTAGATGGAGCTTTTACCCTTACAAACACCAGCAGTGGCACCAGCGTGTCCATCAGTAGAGTCTCGACATGATGATGGTGTTTACTGGTGTGGAGAGAAAGAAGAGGATGGAAGTTCCCGAGCTGGACTCGGTGAGAAAGTCACGCGATCAGTCTTTGAGTTTGTATCTGACATGAAAAAAGACTTAAAATCTACTTTTCCTTCAGAAAGTCACCAGCTGGAGAAAACCTTACGTTCTTTTGCAACGATCTTATAAAATCCATCTGTAAGGGAGAAGATCCAACTACATGTCAGCTTCTTGTAAACACAACAAAACTAAATATGGACCACAGATTTTTTTTATGAAAGAAGCTGAAACAAACAAATTCACCATAACAATAAGAGAAGTAACAACAGCTGATTCTGGGTGGTACTGGCGTGGAGCTGAAAACACCAACGAGCAAAACAGCAAAATATTCACCCGCAGAGTGTCCTTAAATGCTGGCGAGTTGTGATGTTTTAATCTGACCCAGGTTCAGCTGGTGGAGTTACTCTGATTAATGCCGAGTTCACATTTTTCACACTGGCTCAAACATCAGAGAGGATGGCAGCTGGATTAGACACATCTGGAGAGGTTTAAAGTTGTTGTTTTCCTTCAGGACCAGCGGTCACATCTCCTGTCACTTCTAAGAGTCCAATTAAAACTGGTAGGACATTATTATTATCATTATAATCATCTTGAATTTCCGCCATCTCTAAGAATGGCTAATGATGATTATTTAATGTTGTTTTGCAGGCGACTCAAAGAAAGAAACAAATGTAATGGTCTGTGGGATCCTGTTGGTGCTGCTTCTGGTTATTATCACAGCAGTAAAAATTGTCTACAAACGGAAGAATTTACATCACTTCCTTGTGTACAACATAAAAATCCTACATATGACGTTCAAACATGAGGTCACGATGTTTTAATGTTTTACTGTGATAATTGTTTTAGCTCATTTTCAGGTTTAAAAACAAAAAGTAAGAGAAAATGACAGTCATTTTAAGGATCAGAGGTTTGTTGCATCAGTTCCCCATAATAGAAACGTGATAAAAAATTAACTTTAGCTCTTTGTTCATTTGAACTGACAGGAAATCCGTGTTTGAAACCAGCTGAGATCAGAGCAGTGCATCAGCAGCCTGGCCGGTGCTCAGGTTTTTAACTTATGTTCTCACGGATGTTCGGACTAAATTACTGATCACATCAGGTATTTGTAGAGTCGTCTCTTATCTGATTCATTTCTAGGATTAACAGAAGTGATATTTTTTTTCTTCCCTGTCAGGACTCTGTGTATGAAGAGATACCGGAGCAGTCTCAGACTCCAGTGAACAGCATTTATGTCACAGCTAACTTTGACGACGCGCCTTGCTGCATTACTCCACCATCAACCTTCCAAGCGGCTCAGACGGAGGCGTTTTGTATCCGAGACCCGGTTCTGCTTCCTGCCAATATGCACTTTTAGACTGCATCTTGGGTTCTGCCGATGGAGGATCCAGACCCACAGAACCACCTGTTCACTCCACAGTCCAGAAGTCACACAGAAGTCACACACTCCACAGTCTCTGATTTCTGCCTGAGCTTTCCTGTTTGGTTCAGTCGTGGACGACACAGCAGGTCTGTGATTTACTGGAAACTGTTTCAGAACAGTGCTATGCTTCACAGTGTTATGGACGTAATATTCACTTTAGAAGTGTGTGTGTGTGTGTGTGTGGGGGGGGGGGGGGGGGGTATCTTTACAGTATGTTCTAATGGGAAGCAGGCTTCAACATAAACGGTTGTCTTCCGCTTGGTCCTAGAGCTCAACCAGTGTCAATTTAATTTAGCGTAATATTGTTTTCGGATGGTAAAAAGTGCAGGGGTCAAAACTTGACTTCGGAAAAAGTGGGGGGGGGGGGGGGGTACATGCCCCCCCCCCCCCCCCAAATTACGTCCATGCACAGTGTTCATGTTTAAAAACATATGAAAATGTTTGATGGAATGAAGTTGGATATTTTTTCTTGGCTGGCAGGTGTCTTATTGGGATGGAGGAGATTTTATAAACAGAAGATCTGTACTGTATACTTATCTGGTAAAGTCATTTGTTTTGCTGCCATCTGTGAATACTCTGGCCTGTTGGGATGAAATCTACTGAACATTTAGTCTCATATATTATCTTTTTTTGATTGTTTTATTCTGTAACTGGTCCGCTTGTCTCATCTCTTTGTTACGAGACTTTTCCTTTTATTTCTGGATGCAAAGACAAATAAAATATCTTTGCCTAAATAGTTTTCACTGAAATCTGATTTAAAACATTTCAAGTGTAGAAAATTCATTAAATCTATGAATAATTCATCTATTTTAAGGTTTCTAACCTGAACAGATGAGCCAGCACTGATTCTTCATAAACATATTTACATGTTTTATTTTGTTTGTTGCACACGTCTTTAATAATTCTATTATCATTAAAATTCAGATAGAAAATCAGACTAACCTTTATAAAGCAATCCTGATGTTTTGGCAGAAACAGTGAGTCTAACGGAGACTTTTGACTCATTTAAGATGACGTAAAATGTTCTTTAGTGCTGCTAATAAAAGGTTCTGATCTGCAGTGTTTCCTTCCTGAATAAAAAAATGGTGCCTGTGGTTTTGCTCCAGCTCTGAAGTCTTATTCACATCTTTGTTTCTGTAAATCAAGATGGAGTTTAATTTTACACCTCAGACGCTCTGCTGTAACATCAGTCTGAAGAGTCCACAAGGCGGTTTAATACAATTCAAAGATACTTTATTAATCCCAGAGGGAAATTAAGAGTTTCAATACACACAATTCAGAGATCAGACATGCATACAGTACATAGACACGACAAGAATTGGTGACTGTGGTCATTCGCAACCCGAGTCGCGCTACCGTAATGATCTAGAGGGTTTATATGAGGATAGAGTCGGGGGGAGGGGGAAAAAGGCACTTCAGAGTTACCCTCCACAGAGAGGGCAGCTTTGCTATGCAAAAAAACACCTCAGACAGAAATGCACACAGACTTTAGACATTACACAACATCAGTGTCCACTAGGTGGGGAGGTCGGGTTGGGACTCTCCTCACCCCACAAGCTCTGCTGTAACATCAGTCTGATGAGTCCACGAGGCTGTTTACACAGATAATTGTTATAATGTGGAGAAAACAAAGGGAATAAGAATCTTTAAAATCTGTTTAATCAGTTTTGTTTCTGTAATAAAATCCATTTAGGTTCATTTCAAGTAGCTGACGTTTAAATAATCTGATTTTAAACAGAACCGTTTAATCCGTGGTTTCTAAAGGCATCATTAAAATAAAATGCTGTAATCCTGTCAGCTGCTGTCTAGCTCTTGTCCATGCTCTCCGAGGGTCCTACCCCCCCTCCCTCCACTCCCTGGACGCTCTGGTAGATGGACGCCATGTCAGCGTTGGATCTGATCTGGTTGGCAAAGTCAGCCATGCTGGGGCTTCGCTCCACCTCCGGCACCGCCAGCAGGGCGGCGACAGCGCGCATGGCTGAGCGACGCAGTTCGTCCTGCTTCTCAAACTCCTGCTTCACAGAGCCGGCCTTCACCTGCAGGGGGGGCGGCACACCTGTTAGTGTTTTGGTTTGCTGATGATCTAGTTTAAGTGTTTGTGTGTTTTAGTACTTTTGCGGTGCAGGTGGCTTTGAGAGGCTCCACCAGACGGTCCAGTCTCTGGAGAACAGCAGCAGGAGACAGAGAGGCGAGTCTGGCCAACATCAGGAATGTCAGCATCTTCAGGAAAAACACCCAGAGTGGCAGGTTAGAAAAAGGAATCAATGAGGCTCCTGATATAATCGTGTTTTCTCCGGTGAACACAAACTTGTCTTCAACGAAACGTGATGAATCTGAATAATCCAAATTAGTGATGAGCTCCAGGTTCAGTTAACATTTTAAGATGCTGAATGTTTGTTTTTGGTCTGAGTGTTGTGATTCTGACCCAGACAGCTCCTTACTGGGTTCTGACTGTTGGCAAAATCTGAGCAAATGTGTACATTTTCTTGCCATAATTTAGACAAAAAGTCTCATAATTGTGTGTAAATCTATTTGTGATTCATTTCATCACACCCAGAATGTCAAATCCTCTGTTTTGTCTTAGTTTTTTCAGCATTGGACCAAAGTTAACTCCAATTATCCCCCTATCAGAAATCGGGCTGCAGCTATCGAATATTTTTGTAATCGAGTACTCTATCGAATCTTTTATCGATTAATCGAGTACTCTAATAAATTACCCTTTTGTGTTTGTAAACCATTGTATCAAATAGCATGTTATAAAATATGAAAGACTTCTTAAAATGAGCAAGCAATTACCAGTTATTCTTCAAGTTTTATTCAAAATTAGTTTTGTTTATGTTTAAACACGTAAGTGGTTTTAATGGATGGAATGAGATCCTGCAACTGTCTGGCAAATGTTTTGAGACACTTTGGAAACTCCCCTGTAAACGTGAGAAAGCCCAGTGAGAGGAATTATTTCCTCTTCTGGGTGTTTCTTCTGCTCACCCTGATGTCATAGTGGTCCTTCAGTCCTTCCTCTACATGATCTAGAAACTGCAGGACGTCCAGCCCCTCCAGGCAGCTCTCCAGCAGCGTGTACATGCACTCGAACGCAGCTTTACGGACATCTAAACCATCGTCCACGCTGTGTTTGAACGGCCCCATCTCCACCTGCAGAGCACAGACAAAACATCACGCCTGCACATGGGAGTTAGTCTTCAGCTTTCTGCTGAGGCCCGGTTCAGATTTTTGACCCAATTTTCTCCTTCCAATAATCTTAAGGACCTGATGCAAAAGCTTTAAAAATAGGTCTGTCAGATTTTCCTTTGGTCTGGTGTATTAAGAGGACACTGGTCTGCTCAGAAGCACATGGGGACCACTCCGATCATAAATCAGGGATATTATAAACATGTTGGATTGTCTTGATCTAATTTTTGACGACAGACGACCGTGATGACTGTCGAATGCGATGGAAGCTCGCTACCCGACTGATATATCCATGATCATGGGTTTCTGGCTTAAACCACCTCTCTGATGAGATCCTTCCTGATCCGGGTTTCCTTATAAAGCTGAGGCAGAACCGTTCCCAGGAGTCCTCGGATCAGAGCTGGTTTGTTATGCGCTGCGGAGTTGAACATCACCAAAGCCACACGGCGCACATCGATGTCGTCGTCCTGCAGGGTTTTCAGGAAGTCGCCTGTAACAGAAATAAAGGAGATGTGTCACACCTGAGTGGAGCTTGTAGAGTAACATCTGCTGGATCGTTGCATCCTGAGACTTCAGTTCACTCACAGCACTCAGAAAAGTGAAAACAAACACTTCTGAATCAGAGTGGTGACAGTGTGTTTTACCAATGCAGTCTTTCAGCAGTGAATCTATGGGAGCTGGATGGTCGACAATAGTGAATTTAACGGCCGTCACCACTGTGCTGCGAGCCAGAGGAGAACCTGCAGGACAAGCCGGAGCACAGAGTTAAAAAAAAACACTCAAGTGATCTATGAACAGTCCGGACCTGATCCACACCTGTTTTAAGTTGCTGTCGTAGTCTGGGCAGAAGTTGAGCCGGATTGGCTAAAGTCAGTTTCCCCAAACATTCAGCCACCAGGTTCCTGGTCCCCTCCTCCTGACACTCACAGTGCTGAAACAGTAAAGTCCAGATGGACTCGAGATGGGGCGAGAGACTAGAGGCTGAGCAGGCGCTGATCAGAGAGAGAGAGAGAGATTCTAGTTAAGTGAATTCACTCGTTTTCCAACTCTTGACTCCAGCTGATTGAGATGAACATAAAGAAGGATTTAATGTCTCCAAAAGAAAAATCTGAGCTGGAACCTGATGACTTCTTTGAGGGAGTGCAGAAGCAGGTATTGTTTTCGTGGCTGAGCTGAGACCTCTTTCAGGATGAAGGGCAGGTATTCATTCAGACTGCTGACCGCCATGCCGCCTAAAGCACAGGAAGCTGCTGTTTTTATCTGAAACAACAACAAAAGCCTCCAATCACATATAAAAACATGATAGCACAAAGTAATGTATCAGTTGCATGAGACAAAATCTGAGTTTGCAGGTCTGCAGCCTTAAATGATGTGAGATTTACCTGCAGAAGTCAGGATTTCTTATATAAACATTTGTTTTTCAACCTTTTGATTCTTCTTGATGTCTTTTATCCACAAGAGCTTTGTTGCATGTTGATAATAACCATAAACAATACAAATAAAGTTTTAAACCACAGAATAACCTTTGCTATAACCATAATTTTAAGCTGTAACAATAAAGCACCATTCTATTAAAGGGACTATAAGGAAGTTTGACAGCCAAAACATGTATACAAATAATACATTTCTTCTTCATACATTCTCCTGCAATGCCCTGGCCCTGTAGAATGAGCCCTGGCATTTTTACTGTGATTGCCTGTTTTTCTGTAAAATCACAGAAAAAGAGAGCTGCTCGGGTCGAGCAGGCTGCTTCATGCGCGTTCACGCTCAGACATAGCCCGTAGCATTTGCTATCAGTAGCTTTAGCAGCAGAGAGTGAGGTAGTGCCAACTCAGCGACTTTGTCGCTGTTCCTAACGCCTAGTGATGAACCTAGCTACATTTCTGAGGACCCTTAGCTACTTTCTTCTAGATATTTCCTGCAAATTAGCAACAAAATAGCCATTTTCGCTCCGAACTGTTCTTTGGATTGACGTTGTTTCAGCTGTCATCAAGGATATAAATGTTACAGATACAATGCATGTCACTGGCGCTTTAGCTCACCTAGTAAGATGTCTGACTCTCGTGCAGAAGACCTGGGTTAAATTCCAGGTGTGAACATAATTTGTTATTTGGAGTTTCTTTTTTACATTAATGATATATTTTTTACAGTAATAAGGCACACATATTTTTATTTGAGACTCGCCAAACGGCATTGAATTCATGGATAAAAAAGATGTGGGTTCCACTTTCATTTTGGAACAATTTTTCAAGCAAGGGAAAGGAATGATCTGAGCATGCAGGAGTACTGACCCATCATAAACCTTTGTTGGCTGTGCTGAAGAGAAAGGTACAGAACCAAATTATTTAATTAATTAGCACGCGTTCTCCTGTCCTCTGTCCTCCAGGCCACACACACACACACACACACACACATACACACACACACACACACACATACACACACACACACACACACACACACACACACACACACACACACTGCATGTTCGGCCGGCCGACGAGAAGGTGCAGCTGCAGAGACAGAGGCACATTATTTTTATTAATTTGCTGTGTTCTTCTGTCCTCCGGGCCACATACACACGGGACTGTCTCAGCTGTTATTTTCGTTAAGGAGTGTGCACGTACAGCATGCACACCTCATGCATGAGCTTACTTTTGAAGCTGCAGTTATGCGTTAGGCCTGAGTGGCGATCGCGAGCATAAAAACTTCAAACTTCCTTACAGTCCCTTTAACCATAAATAAGACCAGTATCAGCTTCAGGGTTAACCCAAAGTACTTTACCTCCTCGCTAGTGGAGGAGAAGGCTTCCAGGATGACCCCCTGCAACTCCTTACTCCTTCCCAGACTGCTGCTCCTCCCCACTTCCCCCAAACACAAAAGAGCCAGAACACGATCTGACTCAGGAGATCCAGAATCCTTCACCTGAGGAGATGAGACAAGAGCTTTAGTCACACAAATCACCAAAACCAGAAGAACATCATAATCCAGAGGAACAGCTGGAGAGATTCGGAGCATTTCTCTGTGCAGAACCAAAAGGATGAGCACACCTGCTGTATGAGTCCAGACACGGTTCCAGGTGCATCTTCGGGGGAGGCTGAGGACAAAGCTGCAACACAGCGAGCGACAGAGTGGTAGGACTGTCTGTGCAGGACGCTGCTGCCTGCAGGCGACTTGGAGCTTTGAAACGGCTCCACAAGTGACTTCAGCAACTGACTGGAGGACAAAGACACTGCTGTAGGTAAAGGACGTCCCAGACCTCAAATAGTCCTGCTCAAAATATTACAACCCTCCCACTGTCCTAATGGGTCCACATGGACCCAAGGGATAAACCATCAATCCTGCTCAATGGTCAACTTTCCTCATGGGGTCACCCATAAAGACAGTGGGAGGGTTAAAGGAGTAGAACACTGAAATGATTCTAACAGGTCACTCTGAGTTTTTCAAGTAGGCTGAACATGAAAATAGTCTCCTACACCTATCTCCAGCTTTAGCTTCTGATAGAAAATAGACGGTGAAACTCAAGGATTAAAACAGCCTGACAGATCTACGTCACACTGTCACCTAACATTCATGGACTCACCCATCTTGACTCACGACGGGTAAGGCTGTTGTTGGTTTAGCATCCAGGAAACAGCAGAGAGCGGCTAGTAGAAGCTAACCGTTAGCATTAGCAAATCCACCAAACAGCAGAACTCCTCCAAGCTTGTGTTATTGGTGGAGATAAAACATCAACGTTGCACAACAAATCCAGTTAGGGATAGTCGTGTTGCTGTTAGCCAATCAGAGGAGCTTATGTCCACATATCAGGAAGTAAGACTCCAGATTGTGTCGTCTGAAGCTCAGCTCAGATGTGGCTCACTTCTAGTTTCTGAAACTGGTGCACCAGAGCTTATTTTCCCCAGAGTACGACTTACAAGGCATTTACTCCTACTGGAGACCACTGCCAATGTTCTGATTAAACGAGTGTTCTACGTCTTCAGAAAAGATGCTAAAAGCATCAACTCTAACTAAAGAATACTTCATCTTATTAAGAATAAAAACACAAATCTTTGAGCTGCTGCATGTTTTTCTGCAGCAGCTGTTCATGCTTTAGAAGGATCTTCCTCTGCTCCTCATGCGACTATTAGCTACATAAAGCTGAATGAACGATGCACCGGAACATCATTCGTCATCTGGTTTAGACCCATAAAACCACGTTTAGACAGAGTCTAAACTTTTGGTTTTCATTTGCATTACAAGTCTTGATGGGATGATTTCATTCAGACTTGATGAGATGTGTTCTATTGTTTGCGTTTTATAAACAGAAACAGTTGCAATCTTGTCCTGACTGAACCACAGGTAAATGTCCTACAGAGGCCCAAAAAGCCTGATGTCATCTGACAATATAATGTACACGTCACTGAGAACGCTCTACAGGAAGGGTTAGAACCAGCTTTCATGCCACCATATGAGACCCAGAAGTGATGTTAGTCATTTGGGGAGATCCCATCTCAAACACCAGCTTTGGTTTAATTCTCCACACATCAGCTGGAAACTAATTACTTCTTGACTTAAGTCCTGGAGAATGGTGGCAGACATTACAGCAGCTTAACCAGACTGAGTATAACAGCTTCTGATTTGAGAACTCATTTTTATCATTAGAGTTTGTGGAGTTCCCCTTAAGAACTGTAATCATGTCATTATTGATTTCTTAAAATAACAAGGCCGCGCTGAGTCTGACGTGACTCGGCGTGACGTTCACACACTGGGAACGTGATTTGATCTGGACCGTGATGCAAGGGGAGCTCTGATCAGGTCTCACTGTGCTGTTTTTATGTTCTCCGGGATAATATAAAAACTTTAATCACCTAAAGAGACTCCAGCGTTGTGAGTTTTGGCAGGTTTTCACATCTCCTGATGAAATAACGGCCTGAAGGAAACACTGCATTTGTAAATGATTGTTGGTAAAGAGGCGAGGTTATCATTTGCAACGTCAGTTTTAAAACAGCACTATTATTATCAGCAGTTATGAAGTATGTGGGTCAACAAAAAGACAATCAGCCTCAGAAACAACTTTTCCCATCAGATGTTTGCTGGGGTCACCGCCTCACACCAGCTCACCTGAAGCTCAGGTTAGTGGCTTTGGAGAGAACCAGAGCCTGAAGGAAGTCCAGGATGGCCGCTAACGCACCGCCCTCCAGCAGCGGCGAGTGGATGAGTCTGAAGACTCCTGGCAGCACAGATGAGCAGATCTTAGCCAGAGAGGAGGGGCAGGCTTTGGCCATACATGTCAGCAAGGTTATGGACACCTGGACAGAGGTACAGATCAAACAGGGATGCACCCAAATGAAAATGTGGGTCGATAATGATGTCTGGTATTAATGCTGGGGTGGGAATTTAACGTGTTTATTATGATTAATCAATCAGAAAACACAATGCATTAAAAATTTACTACTTGAGCCCGAGCCCCCAATCGGGGGCAGAAAAGTCTAGCATCGCAATTTATGCCTTACATATCAATAAATACCATCAAGCAGCAAAAACCAAAGAGCCTGGGCTACAAGACCACATAAACCTTTTTACATGTTCCAAACACGACTACAACTACAATTAAATTAATCTTCACAAAGAAAAGAAAGGAAAAGAAAAATCTACTTATTCCTGTTATGTTTAAAAGCTGGTAGAAAGCAGGCAGGCAGTAACCTTAGTCATATGAACTTTATTACAGCAAGAGGAACAAGCACACATGCAGCATTCATCCTTTAACCATCAGCAGAACTTCCCCTGAACTCTACGCTACACCTCTAAATATATTAGCAGTTCTCTACACACCACAAGCAGTCCCAAAATATCCACTGCTTTAAACAGCTATATAAACATAAGGTCTGGTCAAAATATGTGGAGAAAGGGTCTTAAATGTGCACCTGTATTCTGTTATTTGTGGTCAGTATGGTCGTTTTCCATGTTGTTACTTTACTTTTAATAGGTTTTCTTCTTCCCACTCCCTTTCAGGCAACTATATAAATGTTCATCATCAAATCAGTTATTTTTTGTATATATGCAGATGTATGTATGTATGTGTGCATAAATCTAAAAGCCTGAAAGGAAAGAATCAATAAATAAAATAAAAGTGATCAAATAGAGCTTATGGTGACAGAAATGTACTTATTAAAGTGTGGGTGTGTCATCTGTGCCTCACTAACATTATTTTTTATAAAGCAACAATGCTTGGGTGTAAATTGTCTTGAATGATTAAAATGTGATTAATGGAAATGAATTACAAAGCCTCAGATTAATTCAACTATTTTTAATCAAGTCCCACCTCTTATTAATATTAATCCTGACATTTGTCCTTATAGTTTCAACACCGTGTAAAAGCGACCACACCGCCTACATTCCTTCTGTGCTTTAGTTGAATACCCCCACAATCCTGCGCTGCAGCCATTGTTGCCAACTCATCAGCACAGAAACTAGCTATTGGCTGTTACCACGATGATGTCATTGCCTCATTTGCATAACATGCAACTGAAATGGAGAATTTAGGAGGTGGAAAGGCAATCATGGGAGGAACAAAATGTGGTTTATAACACCTTCAATACATTGGTAAATGGTCTGTATTGTATAGCGCCTTCTTAGGGTTCTGCAACTCCCCCATTCATTCAGCCATTCACACACACATTCACACGTTGGTGGAGATGAGCTAAGATGTAGCTACAGCTGCCGTGGGGTGCACTGACAGAGGCGAGACCTGTCGAACACTGGCGCTACCGGCCCCTCTGACCATAAACAGCAGCCAAGGCGAGTTAACTGTCTTGCCAAAGGACACAACGGCAGCATTTTCTGGTTGGAGCCGAGATTGAACCGGCAACCATCCGATTACTGTACAACGGGCTGTACATCCTGAGCTACTGCATTAATAACTACAAATGAGCTTAAGCACTGGGCGGACACTGTGCAACTTTTTCACTCGTAGCATTCAGCTTCATCTCAAACTGTACGACTTCCTCGCAGAGCAAATCTAACGAGTCATACTCGCACTGTCAGCAACACTTCGGACCTGAAAATATGCTAAAAAAGGCAGTTTTTACACAACACGTCTGACTTTTTTTGTGTTGTTATTTATGTCTGTTGTCCTTCGGGAGTGCTGCAGGAGGACACACAGGGATTTATGGAGGTTGGAGGAGAAAAACAAAAGAAAGAATGTAAATCAATGTTTTGTGATGAGTTTAATTTGACATAAACACGGCAAACACGCTTTCTTGACAATCCTTGTCATTGTGTGTGTGGTAGGATGAACGATTTGGTTCATGGAGGTTTGTCCAGGTGGATGACATTCTGGTGATTGTGGGGCGGGGCACGCTGACTTCCTAAGAGGCAGATGCCTGCTGCTCACGGACAGCTCTCTGATTCTAATCCTCAGCACAGAGCGTGTTTGAGGTGGAGATATGCCGGGTGTGACCTGAGAGTGCTGGTTGGAAGCTGACGGCTATGCAGCTCCAAACTTACTAGCCAGAACAGGTGTATAACCAGAGTGGCCTCTTCCTGTTTAGAGTTTGTTTTCCTCAGGCAGCTGATCTCCTCCCCCACTCGGCAGAGCACGGTCAACCTGCGGTGTCGGCTGGGGGTTGTCTGCGTTGGCGGTACGCCTCGACGGCTCCGCCACCTGGGCTGTGTTGGGTCCCTCGCTGCTTCACCTTTTGGCGTTCCTGGACAACTGGATCCAAGCAGTGCGCCCCGAGGCTCCACACTGCTGTTTTGCTAACCCTTCTTTTAATACAGTATTTTAGCCCGCTGCTGGGCGGGGCTGCAGAATGTTTGGTTGCCAGGGCAACCACTGGATCTCCCGCACCGGATACATTTAATGGAGCCAGTTGGGGGATTTATTTAGGTTTTCCCTGGTTTTAACATAACTGACCTGTGCAGCATCTCCTTTTTAATTCAGTGTATTTTTATTTGTGTGTTTTTAGATGAATTGTTAAATAAAGGCCATTATTGTATTTAAGAACACCAGTCTGTTCCTCTGTGGGTGCACAGGCCTACGTCCTGTTAGTTCCCTGGAGCCTACCGGCTCTGGGGTGGCGTTGATGCAACAGTTTAACTTGACATTCTACTTAGTACGGACCCATTTTGCCACATTTGGCGTAAAAAAGTGTAGAAATAAAAATGAACGACGTGTGTTAGTTGGGTAGGGAAATAGCTGGCGCGCCGTGTTGACATGTTTGTGCATGAGCGGTTCTGGCACTTTTTGGGTTGCAGCGCCGCTCCAACCCTCCTGAGGGACGAGCAAAATATCAAACACGCCAGAAATCCGTGTGCGCTCACGATTGCTGATTGATAGCTGGTCACGTGGTGTTAATCATCTCTCGTTACCCCCGTATACCACAAGAAACTCACCCCGATCTTGTGGATTCTCGCACGAGTGGAAAATCGGCTCAAAAAAGCAAAAAAGTTCCATGGTGTCCGCCCGGCTTAAGTCCCCGTAAACATAAACATTGAACAGAGAAAACTTTTAACCATAATATTTATTTGGATAAAATCTACAATAAACTAAATGGACCAAATTAAGAACAATTAAAGTAACTTTGACTCTGACATAAAGCATGTATGGCGCTACAGCCCAGCTGCTGTCAGAGGAGATGCTTACAGATAAATTGAGCCAGCGCTAAGCCGCCACTAGAAGATCTATGATTAAAATGTGAGTACCTGTGATACGTGCATGTCACTCTCATCCACCAGAGGGGAAATCTCATTCAGGACGGGCTCCAGAGCTGCCGGTTTGATGCTGGCAGAGTGATGGGTGACGATGGCCGTCAGACACGCCAGTGTGGCGAGCTTCAGAGCCCGCTGGTTCTTCCTCAGGAAGGAGCCCAACAGAGACAAAGCCTCTGGCAGGATGGGGGACAGGTCAACCTGAAGAGGAAGGGAAGTTATTTCCATGTCTCTCGTTCGTCTTTTGTTGAGAAATCTGTGTGCTGAACCTTTAACGGGGAGGCGGAAATGAGGGTGATGGTTCTAACAGCAGTTAGCCTTGTTATCTCGTTTTTTAATCTCTCCAGAAAGATGGCCAGGACTCCCTGAAGCTCCGATTCCAGGTGGTCTCCAAGGTGACACACCAGGTGACCCATACAGGAAATGGCCCTTTCCTTCACTTCCTGGTCGATGTCTGCTGCTTTGAGCCTCTTCAGCGTTACCGAAAACACCTTCAGGAAGAGTTTTATGAGAACAGGTGACCAAATAAAACACATCTGCACTCAAGCAACAGCTGATCCAAAGCGAATACATGGAAGGATGAAAACAGGAACAAATAAAACAAAGTCAACAACAAAAAACAAAACAAAGTCTGCATGAATAAAACATCTTTTCTTTGCTTCAATTGATTTTCTGAAGGAACCCGGCTCCTTCTCAACTCACAGGTTCTGGCAAACCTTGTTTATGAAACCAACGCACATTAAAATAATAAGGTGAAGCAAAGCAGTTTCCTGGAAACAAATTAAACCAAGAATCGTCAAAGAGAACTAGTTTGAAACTCCTGCAGAAAACGGCCAACGCACCTCTTTGACATACGGTTTTGGGTCGAACGCTGCAGACACGGCTGTCGGTTCCTGAGGTCTCATCAGTTTGATCAGCTGCTGAGTGACCAGCAGGGCCTCAGATGTGATCTTATAAAAGCTGTCCTCCACACACGCCAGGACAGCAGGGAGCAGAACCTGCAGGAGACGCAACAGCATGACACCCAATCAGAAGTTTGGTCTTCAGTGGCCTCTAACTAGGTTTTTATTATGCGTAGATTCAGCTCTAAAGGGAACCACTGAGAAGAACCTGCATGTGTGGCTGAAAGGTTTGTGGAGGGTGTGAGAGGAGGAGGACGTTAAAGAAGGAGAGAGCATCGATCCTCATGGTGGAGGAGGTGGACTTATCTGTCAGGGAGAAGATGATGCCTGGAGGAAAGAGGGAGGGATAAAGAGGAAGAAAGATGGAGGGAAAAGAATAAAATGGAAAAATAAAACAACTGAAGGAAAAGAAAAATATTTTTAATGTGAGGAAAAAAAAACATAAACCAAAAATGTGACTCATGTAAAAAACCCAAAAAGAACATCTTGTTTATCTTCTGCCCTCTGGAAGAGGATCCAAGTGATGCTAGTGGGAATTTGTTTACTTTTGGTTAATTAGATAACTATGTAAGTGTTTAACTTGTCAATACACCATTTATATCATATAAAATTGCTATTTTGGGCTTCAAAACTGTAAGATTTTTCCTTTTGACTCACCTGACTTCTTGTGTGTGTGTGTGTGTGTGTGTGTGTGTGTGTGTGTGTGTGTGTGTGTGTGTGTGTGTGTGTGTGTGTGTGTGTGTGTGTGTGAGTGCATGCCTGTGTGTGTGTGTGTGTGCATGTGTATGTGCACATGCATGCATGCATGCGTGTGTGTGTGCATGTGTATGTGCACATGCATGCATGCATGTGTGTGTGCGAGTGCATGCCTGTGTGTGCATGCATGCATGCGTGTGTGTGAGTGTGTGCATGCATGCGTGTGTACGTACATGCACGCATGTGTGTGTGCATACATGCATGTGTGTGTGCATGTGTATGTGCACATGCATGCATGTGTGTGTGTGTGCATGTGTGTATTTACCAGGTATCAGAGCAGGTATGTGCTGCTCCAGTGCTCCGGGTGCAGTGTGAACCAGCTCTGTTAGAAGACAGAAGCAGCCCTGTCTGGATTTAAAACTCCTCTCCTTTAACTGCCTGTGGAGAACCTTCACAATCACAGGAACCTGAACACACAGATTCAACTTAAGATGTAATAACATCTCAGAATTGGAACTAAAGGATTCCTTTATTACATTAAGTAAGAAGAGCTCCACAACTTATGATTATTTTTCCTCCAATTAACTTTTTCCAAAAACACTTGATCGGTGTTTAACCCTCCAACTTTTCTTCTGGCACCCTGGAGCGTACAGACGCTTCTCTTTACTCCTCCCTCATCTTTTCCCAAGGCTCTTGTCCGGTCTGTCTGTCTACAGAGCACTTCTCTGCATTCCTCCTGAAAACTCAATTTTTATTAAATCATGGATTTGGTCAACTTGTCATTCAGTGCAAGTGACAATATTTTTTCAACAATGAGAACGGAGCAGGGTTCTCCAGCTTGTCCGGATGGTATATTTTGGATTCCTGGAAAGGGTGGAATATTATATGCATTTCCCAGCTTTCTGTGGAGGACATTGAAGACATTTAGATTTTGGGCCTAATAATTACTGGATTTCTTCAGTTTGGAGTGGGAGGATTTCTTACATTTTGGGAAGCTGGGAAGTAGGGGGCGATTGGCGTGCCACCTGTTCGCACAGATAGACTCAGCAGTGTGGAGATTGTTCAGACTGGGATGCTGTTAAAGTCAATCGCAAGCTAGAGGTCCTAGCTGCGCTCCCGGTGTTAGCGCGCAAAATGGATGTGATCTTGGAGAAAGTCACTGCACGGTATGAGCAAGTTTAATACCCTATTCTTGGATTTACTGAGGGACTGAAGACCAGTTCAAAACTGAAAAGTAGAAAGGAAATTATCTCTGCCTTCCCCAAAACAATTCTTCTTATCTGAACTTGGTGCCCTGGTAGCTTTGAGCTGCGAGAAGGAAAATCCTCCACGAAGGATTACAGACAGATGCTGTGAAACCCGCCCTACCCCCTGCTTTTGGATTTGTGGACTGGGCCTGGCAAGATCACCAACTGAAGGATTCAATGTGCTCTTCATACCCTCAATCTCCGTCCCACCTGTGGTCAACAGTGATGCATGCAATGAGGCTGTGGCTCTCTTTGGGGAAAACAGATTCCCAGGCCCCCACCTACCCATCAGAGGCTCATGTCTATAGACTGCCTGATGTTTTTATACTTATGTTATTATTAAGGTGTTGCCTGTCGGGCGTAACTCTGAAATCCCCCCCCCCAATCCTCATGTAACCCTTTTCAATCTAACTGCAAATGAGCGCCTCAAAGGCTACTCTCAGGGTCTGCTTGTGTCTGTATTTGTTCTACATGTCTGTGTGTTTGACCTTGGTCAGGCTGTACTGCGGAGACAAATTTTTATGCTTCAGGATGCTGGGGCATTGCCAGTAAAGCTGCTTCTGATTTTGATTCACTACCTGGTTCTTGAGCAGAGCCACTACCGGCTCTTCTTCTTGTTGCTTGGCTCCTGAGTCTGAACCAGCGTGGATGATGCTATGGTGACTCGAACCAACTCGTGTTTGCCTCAACAGCGTTGAAAAAGCAGCAAACACGTCGGCCCTCACGTTCTCCTCACGCTCCTTGAAACGAGCCAGCAGGGCGGGGCAGATGGAGTAGGAGAGGAGGAGGTCCCGGCGGGTGCTGATCAGAGCCTCCAGACACTTGACTGCAGAGCGGCGAAC